AATTGATAGAATAGGGGTTGGGGCTGAGAGAGCTTAGTTCTTATCTGTCTAAGCTCAACAGCCCTGAAGGAACTCCAGCTCCTCTTACTAGATTCCAGGATGATCTGATGACATTCATGGCCACATTAGTTTATCTCTTGGCTCCAAGACTCCTATCTTGGGAGGCATGAAGTGTTCTTTCTTTCTCGCTTAACTACCTAATTGAACGTATCGTGTGTTTAAGCAAGAAGCTGAAGTCTTTCCTTGCTCTTTGGAAGATGGAGGTTTATAGAGACCTGTATACCCTGCTGGACAGCGCCCCCTTGGGGACAGGAGCTGAGCTCTGCTGGTGTAGCTTCTGCAATATTCATCTCGGAAATTGGCCCTGGTGTGAGTGTGTGTGTCTGGGTCGGTGTGTGTCCTGTGATGGACTGGCCTTGATCCCATTGCTTGCCAGGTTAGGCTCTGGCTTCTCTGCAACCTTGTACTGGTTAAGGTGCTTAGGAAATGGATCCTTAGAAGTACAAATTAAATAATGAAAATAAACATTAAGGTTTGTTGATGTAATGCTGACTACAAAAACGCTTGAAGTTTTCACCTTTGTTATTGTTTTAGATAGTTACAAAATATAAAAGTGTTGGAAAAGGCTTACAGTATTCTGGCAATTACTGTAAATACGTCAACATGACCTCTGCATTATGGTTATTGTCTCCAAAAATGGAGAACTTGGCGGAACTAAGTTGATATTTATCTAAGATGATGCCAGTTCAGAGGAAATATTCTTAACAACAGTCGTGGGACATATATGGTCAAACTTAATTGTCATGCTAAGTTTCGTAATATAACTCAAACACTATATTACCATAAAAAGGTACTGGATGGGGTGAATTGACCGAGTGGCAAAGAACTCAATGTTGTATGACTAGTGGTGTTCAGTTTTTAAAGTTGTCATTATAATTTAGGTTTTGAACTATAGCACATGATTAAATGCACCAATGAAATAGTCAACCGAGTTGAGTATTGACTTTTCAGGACTTTGAATACCTGCCATGATCACCTCAATCTCAGATTCAAGAGTGCTCTAAGCTATACAAATCACATTCCTCAGATGATGATTATTGTTCTTGCTGTTAAGGATGGATTTAGTTTTGTACTTTATATCTGACTTTAAGAGTAATTTAACCAGCATTTTTACATTGCATTTTCCAGTTTACATTATTCATTATTTTATTCAGTAACATATTGTACGATCATTCTAAGAGGCTGGATCATGATCAGGTATAGTAGGAGCGCTGGGTTTTCTCTTGGTAGAGTAATTTGAGATGGAGATAGCGAGTCCATTATACAGAAGGATATTTATGAAAGTAATATATTTGCATATTGCTTATACATAGCTTAAGTTACAGTCATAATTATTCATGAACTTTTAAGTGCATATTTGAATAGATTCATCTTGTAAAATTACAGTCGAAATCTCAATTCCAAGGTGCAGTCGTGCTTTAGTGATGCACTGTGTTAGACTGCTGACACCTTGTGGCTGGACTAAAAATGAAGCAACTCAGATTAATTGTAGCACTACACTTCAAATCCTAGGATATGACGCATAAAAACATTGACAAAAATCAACCCATTTAAAATTTTAAAATAGTATTGTCTTTGCGTGCCCTTTCTGGTCAGATAATTCTTTTCCCAGGGAGACAAGCTATTCCAGTACAAATAATTTCCAACCAGGCTCGTTAAAGCACTCTCCTTGATGCAGCCCTCCAGGCTGGGTTAGTCACAAGCCTGGGCCTGCTGTCAGAGCTTCCTGCAGTGAGCACAGATTCCGGTCACACAGAACAATGTCAGTTCTCCTTGATCTCCTCCCTCCTGCACTGCTTGTTCTCTGGCTTGACGTCCACCAGCTGCAGGAACCCGCAGAGCTGGGTCTCCTCCACAGTGGGATCCGGCCCCTCCAGTGACTCCCCAAGCGCTCGCAGCCTTGGGGACACTGGAGATCCTGTCCCAGTGTCTGGGGTTTCTTTTCTCACACTCACAGCTCAAGCTGATTATTGAACTAGAGAGTTAATTCACTCTTATTCTTCCAGTTACTGATTAACGGAGTTCAACTTTATTTTAGTCTGTTTCCAATTTAGGTTTCGAATCTAAATTCTGAATAAAAGAAAACTTTTTTTTACATTCAGCCATTAACCTTGAAAGACAAATGTAAATACGTATTACGGTATCCATCTGTTTTTTAATACAGTAGAAATCAAACTGACAATTGTAGACCCAGAACTGTGCACACTGGTTTTGGAGCAGGAGGGTGTTTAGCACCCTGGGGAGAGGATGCTTAACCCTAACACCTGATGCAGAATAATGAATCATTACTTTCAGTGACTGGAACGCAGACGGGGAAAAAAACATCTAAAGTTTCTGCATTTCTCTTCTTAGAAATATATGGCCATTCTTATGAATTGGTATCTCAGAGTTTAGAAATATATTTTTAGGGAGGACTTCAATTTTACTGTACAAAAAAGGTGCCAGTGATGGAATCATATAATTATGTGAAAACATAAAATTAGACACATAAAATAATGTTTTGTTTTCCCCATATATTTTTATTGATATTATTGTCTCATGGTTGCAGTCAGACATAATGAATTAAAAAAAGAAGAACAAATTGAAACAGTATTGGAAGAAAAGAACTTAATCATACATCAGGTTCTGTGAATTCTGTGAATAAGTGCTTTCAAGGCAGCTGCTATTTTTGAAAGTTCATTCTAGTTGGAACCAAAAGACAAGCACAATATCTGGTTACAACATATACCTGCATGACACGCATATCACTGAGTATGATAACTGATTATAGAGGAATACAACATATAGATCAACATGATTTTAAAAAATAACATACATTTCTTATGTACTGTAGTGTTCCAGACCTGGTATAGGAGAGAGACTATTCTGAAGCTTAAAGCAGAATTTCACATGAGTAATTTTACATAAAGAAGAGGCACTATTGGCAGGTTCCAGTCATCCAGGCTGAGCTTGGGTGGACACAGGAGAGCACAGGGCTTCAAGGATACAAACAACACTAACAGCTCATTTAGTGTACGTATGGCTCTTTCGAAATTAAAAACCATCAAGAGTAAAAACAACAGCAGGCTGATACAGAAAATAATCGGAATTACATGTGACATGTTAACCTGTTTCTTAGCGGACATAGAACAATAAAAACAGAATTCAGTCTTTCCTTGTCATTATACAATTTTACATTCGGCAAGAAAGACAAACCACAAACATGGTTACAGCCTGCATAGAAACTAGATTTGGATATTGAATTAATTATGTATGTATTTTGTTTGGGGTATTAGACCACATGTGCAGGATTTTAAAATCTTGCTGGACACTAATGAACTTGCTCACCTTAGACTGAAATTAATTGAACCATAACCTTAAGACTGAAAAAATTAGCAATACTTTATTTCACAAACAAAGTTGAGCTTTGTTATTCTTTAATTTTAGTATCGTCATTCAATTTGAAACATTTCTGTACTGCTATCCTAACCAAGGCCATCATTTTGGGTTAAAAGTCCGAAATTGTTTAAATGAACAAACAAGACGAGACCAATACCTAATTTTCAGATTTGTCCTTCTGCTTCCTGTGAATAAGATAAGGAGCTGACACCTCTTCTTGATATTGAATTAGTTATGGTAGGCAGGGACACAATGGAAAGTCAGGCCAGCTTTTGGGGGTGGAGTCAATACATCATTTCAAACTTTATTCGGCGATCTCTTGAGGGGTCTGCCTGAAAGACTTTATTCTTCCCCCTCATTGATTTTTCGTCCTGGCAGTTTGGGGGTGGTAGTTCAGGCATAAGAGCTGGTGCCATTATTTATAAAGTCAAAAATGAGTTCCATTTGTGTTCCATTTCAGAGGAACCTGACTGCACCCTCAGGGCTAATAAAGACTCTCTCTCTTTCTAAGGAATTTTGACGCTGTTGGCTGTAAACAACAAAATATCTCATCTCAAAATGGAGTTGTAATCCAAGGTGGCTCTTCTTTATTTGACAGGGCATGTAGTTACATTTCACTCATCTGAATCCACTCCGCTTGATAGTACATTCTAGGTCATCACACCTGCATCAGTGGAGATGCATGTTGTACATGGTTACAGCACATGGTAGGTACATGGTACCTTGATTAGGATAGGATGAGTGGAGACACTGGTTGTACATTTTCACTCCTCCATATTGTGAACATAGAAGATGCTATTTGGACTCTCAGGCTGTGGATGTCAGCAGAAGGGAAACAAGACTGACATTCACCAGTCATCTTGCATCGAGTGGTATAAGCTAAGACAGTATGTATACTGTATATATGAACCCCACTGCATATCTGTGCTTACATTCAAATGCATTATGAATGCAACAGCAAGGATGCATAACTTGAGCTATACAGTATATAATGACATTCATACAATCAGAAGTGAGGTTTTTCTATATGACAGCATGACATTTTCAGTCCTGCAGATATACTGTAGAGCGCAGTAACAAAAGACAGAATTAAATTGAGATGGTGCAAAAATATACATCCAGTCAACCTAACCTACCAAGTGTTAATTTATAAACATTTAATTTCAGTATTGAACACAATTCCGGTATGGCCTCCTGCAGAGCAGACATGAGAAACCTCTTACAAACCATGTCGCGTTTAGAAGATCACAATAGTCTAGTAAATCATAAAAATAGATTTCTAACATGTTTTTAAAAGAATATTGACATTCAGAATGAAATTTTAAAAAATAAATGAATTTTGTCATCTACATTGTGAAGAACAAAATATTTCGATGTAATTAGTGTAAAACTATTAGTGTTTCACCTACTGTACTGCTAGTTGTAAAGGAATTATCACAATTACACTGTACTGCATTAGTCCGTCCAACTGCTAGCTCAAAGGTTTGGATGTTTCCATTTGATTGTGAAAAACTGGAAAAATGTTTGCTTTAGCTTAAAATGCTTTAAAATGTTTAAAGAATAAGGTGCTTGATTTATTTAAATTTTGCAAGACACAAATAAGCAGACATTTGGAACAAAATAATTTGTTAATTTTCTCTCATATATATTAAATGTAGTGTTTCTCAATTCTCCCTAGACAGACACAAGGAACTTTAATTCAGGGTTTATGCTGTGAAGAGATTTGCCTGTATTAGGTGAGGATGAAACAAGAGATTAAAAAGTGTCAGTTGTTATTTCAACTTATAACAGTATTTGGAGATGAGTCTAAACTGGAGTTGTCTTCTGTATTTCACAGCTGGAAAGAACATTTGCTTTTTATAATTCTCAAGAAGTTCTTTATAAATCAGATACTAGGTGTTATAATATTTAAGGACCTGTTTTGTGTGGCAGTTAAATGGAATTAGTGTTTGTGCAGCAACAGTGAAGAGCCTGGTTTACTGTACAGTAGATGCTAGTGGACAAAGCCAACCAAACCTAGATGAGGATGTGATGTTCCCCTGGTCTAGAGTGTCTGCGCTGTGTTTTGTGGTTTCACAAGGAGATAAAAGCTCTTTCATAACATATATAGTGCAGTGTGATGTGTTCATATTGGCTGGTAGTAATATGGTCTGTTAAATGTAGAGTATTTATGCATTATTTCTGTATCAGATTAAAGCACATAAACATATAAAAATAATGATGTAGTGCAGGAATAGTGTACGAATAGCTCGTGTCACTGGCTGCTTCTTTTATTTTGGTTCCTCACTGTGAGGATGCTATATACTGTATGTGTCCAGCTTGACTCTGCTGTTCTTTCTGATTAGATGACTGTGGACCAGGGTATTTAACTATTCCAGCAGCAATGGCTTCTGAAATACTAATCAAAAGCTTAACTACAGGCAGTATAGTGCTATAGAGAAGATTTGCAAAATGAAGGCCCAACACCTGATTTTTTTCACTAGGGTATTTCGGCATGTAATTAAGCCTGATTAATTCGGTTCATGGTAACATTGAAGAAAATAATTCAAAGGCAGCCACAGTCCACAGCTGGACATGCTGGATCATAGACAACTATAATCCGCCTGCCAGGCAAGAAAACATCTCAAGACAGTCCTCCAACTTGCCATGCTGAAATAGGTAGCATGCAAAATAATCTAAGCAGAAAAAATGCTATGTCAATCTAGATGCACATAGAAAGCAGCCATTTAGAAAGATGTTGATAGTACTAATCGGTATATAAATTGGCCATCATCTATTACCCGTTTCAAAGGAAAGATGAAAGTATGTCATCATTTTTCTGTCAGCCCCCACTCTAGTTGCTCCCTTCTTTTGCAGTGCTTTCATGCCGCTTTCCTTTGGAACAGGGAGGGTGGGGTGTCGATCATCAGTTCGGGGAGGGGGCGCGTGTTCTGGGGCAGAGGATTCACTTGCACCTCCTCAGCACCTCCTGCATTCGCTCCTGCACGTTCTCCATCTTCTCGGCCCACTCCTCGCTCAGCTCCTCCTCGTCATCGCCGATGACGGCCGCGTAGCCCATGAGCGCGATCAGCCCGATGCAGAAGAGGTAGGTCAGGCGGGTGCAGAGGCGCTCCATCACCTTGCGGTCCCCATGGGAGTGCTTCATGTACACCTCCAGGATGGGCTTGCTGAAGAGCTTGGGTTTACCCATCACGCCATCGTACAGGGTGTGCAGGTTCTGGTCGCCCAGGTCGTTGGCGAAATGCTCCTCGAAATCCTCTCTCTTCCTGCTCTGGTGCTCCGGCTTGGCTTCCACCAGCTCCATGAACTTGCGGAACTGGTTCTTGATGTTCTCCTCCACCTTGGAGTACTGGCCGTCCAGCGTCTCCTTCTTGATCTGCAGCAGGGCGTTGCGGTTCTGCTGGGAGATGTCGTCCAGGGCCTTGTGGACGCTGTTGAACTCCTTCTTCAGGGTCTTGATGTCCTCGTCGTCGATCTGGTGCAGCACCACCCTGATCAGGGACCCTGCGATGCCGAAGATGGGGTTCACCACGGCGGCGGCCGAGGAGATGGTGGCCACGCACTGCAGCACCTTCACCAGCCCCTTCTTCAGCTTCTCTCGGTCCTCCAGGATTTCAGACATGGCTTCTTCTGGAAGGCAGGCGGACGCGGCTCTCAGGGTTTGAGGTTCCAGTAGTGCCTGTGAGGAGAGCAGGAAACAGCTGTAGTTGAAGTATTCTAACAATGCAGAAGTGCAGAGTGCTTATTTTGAATAATCAATGTAATTTTTTCCACAATTTTAGAAGTGCCTCTGTGTTACATATATTTTTCCTTTACTTCTGATACTGAATACTTCCTCTCCCCCCCGCTGGCCTGCCACTAGAGGGAGTTAAGGCCTTAATGGTCTATATATACAGTACAGTAGGTTCACATGAGGCACACTGTTTCTTAATTAATTAGCGGATAGCTATGATTCACATTTTCAGGTGGGGATAATTTAGATTGTTTGGGATATATGGTGGGAGTTAGGTTGCTTTAGAACACGTGGCGGAAAATGTGGCAGATTAAATACTCTTTTTCACCATTACTATAGGATTCAGCAGTTGGCCTTGTCGTGTAGCTGATCTGGAGCGGTGCAAATGGCAGCATCTTATTTTGAAGGCTTATAAATAAATGATTTTACCATAAATGATTTTAATACAACGGGCATCTGAGACTAATAATGTTGTAAACAATTATTATAATTCTGTTCTATTCAATTCAATTCAACTTTATTTGTCATTATACCGTACTTACACAGGTGCATAGTAATAATGAAAAGTGTTTCTCGTTAGTCTCTCAGGTGCAGTATATACACAACAGCAGACAATAGACAGTAAACACAATAACAATGTAAACAATGAGTATGGTACCAGTATGACAGTACCCATATCTGTCAAAAACTGTGCAAAAGTACACAACCAGAGCAAACAGTGCAAAATAATACAGCGACTTATCAAATAGTACAACTCAATCAAGTACAGTTTTATGTTCAAGTTCGGCTTACATTCGATTGTTGGAGGTATGTTGCATGTAGTGGTGTAGGAGTCCAGTCGTTGTGTGGTACAGGAAGAAGTGAGGAGAGATCACAGTTTGGTGAGTGGTTGTGGGGGGGGTCACCAGCTTGACGGCTCTGGGGAAGAAGCTATTTCAGAGTCTTGTTGTGTGTGACTGGATCGTCCGGAACCCAGAACCACAACGAACAAGTTGTGACTGGGGTGAGTGGGGTCAGTCATGATTTCAGGGGCTTTTTTCAGGCACGTGGTGTTGTAGATTTCCTGGATGGATGGTAAGGAACTGCCGATGATGTGATGGGCAGTTTTGGCCACCCGCTGCAGGGCCTTGCGGTCGGATGCGGTGCAGTTGCCGTACCAGACTGTGATGCAGCTGGTCAGTATGCTCTCCACCGTCCATCTGTAGAAGTTGGTGAGGATCCGTGGATGCAGGCATATTTCCTTCAGCCTTCTCAGGAAGTCCAGCCGCTGTTGTGCCTTCTTGATGAGACTGGAGGTGTTGAGTGCCCATGTGAGGTCCTCAGTGATGTGAACACCTAGAAATTTGAAGTTATTCACCATCTCCACCACAGATCCTTCGATGTAGATGGGGGAGTGGACTTTTCCCTGTCTCCTGAAGTTTTGCTGATGTTGAGACATTGGTTGTTGGTTCGGCACCAGTCTGCAAGTTGTTTTATCTCCTCCCTGTAGGCAGTCTCATCGTTGTCAGGCCCAGGACTGTGGTATCGTCAGCATACTTAATGATGGTGTTTGTGCTGAACTTGGCAGTACAGTCATGGGTGAATAGGGAGTAAAGCAGTGGGCTGAGCACACAGCCTTGAGGGGCACTGGTGTTAAGGGTGAGCATGTTGGAGGTGAGGTTGCCAATCCTGACAGTCTGGGGTCTGCTGGTGAGGAAGTCCATGATCCAGCTACAGAGGGTGGTATCTAGACCCAGAGCCCAGAGCTTGGTAACAAGTTTTATGGGTATGATGTTGTTAAATGCTGAACTAAAGATAATAAACAGAATTCCTGCATAGGTATTCTTTTTATCCAGGTGGGTCAGTGTGGTGTGTAAAGCTGTAGAGATTGCATCCTCCTATATAAAATGTATAACAATCTGTGGTTTCCATGGTGGTGCAGCTGTATCTTGGAAGGAAACCAGAGTATCCGCTTCAGTCACGTGACTGGGTTGTATAGTAAACAGTAATTTTGGGGTCATAAAGAATAAACGAATCCAACATTATATCTGTCCTTCAAACCATTTTTTGCAAGGGTCTCCCAAAACGTGATTCCCCATATGCTTAGAGATGCTAATTCTCACAAGATGAAGTGGTGAAAGATTTAACTTGGAAAATGGATGAGCACTGAACCAGCAAATCTTCTGGTTTCACTTTTCTTCAATACAGTTTAACAGAAAAAAAAGTTGCGGAATTACTTTATGCGTGCCCCTCAACCCACTTGAGTATTACAATTTTAGTCTATTTTTGTTTGAAGTACAGTATATTGCTGTGCTCATTTTATGACATTATATAATTCTGTCTCATGAAAGCACAAAGAAGGCTAGAGAGATTTAGAATTATTTCTGTTTATTTAAGGCATTCTGCAATGACACATTCCACATGAGACAAGATTTAAAAATAAAGAAAATAGTACAAAGTGGCTGTGGTGCAAAGTTTTCAGTGAGCTGCTTTGGGTTTCCTGTTGAATTCTTCTTTAGTTTTTTTTTATAATAGATAATGAAGACAGTTGCCACAAGAGATCAGACTGTCACCCGCTGAGGGTTACAAACGGTATCGGAAGATGAATCAATGAATTTCCTGGAGTTTATCCAAGTCCCATCTGGATATTGCCTCCCAAGATCATTTTGAATCAAGGAATGATTAGTTTTTGGGTTTTGGTCTTCCTTGGGTGCCCTTGGGCACGTGCCCTGAGGCTATTTGCACTGGCTCAGCACTTCCTGCATCTTCGCTTGAATTTCGGTCACTCGCTTGGCCCACTTGTCTCTGACCTCCTCCTCGTCGTCCTCGATGACGGCGGTGTACCCCATGAGGGCCACCAGCCCCACGTGGAAGAGGTTGGTCAGATGGGAGCACCGGTGCTCCATGATCTTAAGGTCCCCATCGCAATGTTCCATGTAGACAGGTAGCAGCGGGCGGCCAAAAGTTCTCCGTGTGCCCATCACCCCATGGTAGAACACGTCCAGGCTCAGATCCCCCTTGTCCCTCTCATAGGTCTCCTGGAAGTCTGCCATGTGGCTCTCTTTGTGCTCGGGGTCTCTCTTGACCAGCTCCACCATGGTGTTGAAGGCCTTGTACTGGTGTTTGATGTACTCCTCGTACTTAGTGAAGGTCTCATGGATCTCGTCGATGCGCATCTGCTTCAGGGTCTGCTTGTTCTTCTGCGAGATGCTCTCCAGCGTGCTGTAGATGGCCTGGAAGTCCTTCTCCAGCTCGTTCGTCTCCTCGTCGTAGATGCCCTTTCGCACGATGGAGACCAAGGAGGTGACGATCCCAAACAGGGGGTCGATGGAAGAGGCGAAGGAGGAGACCTTCTCCACATAGGAAAGCACCTTGGCTGTGCTCTTCCGGATGTTCTCCGTGTCGCCCATGGCTGGGGGAAGCAGAGTGGGCGGCCGTTCCGAAGTCACACCTGGAAGGAGTGGAAAAGGAGAAACCAGCTGGTCAGGATGTCTTCTCTATATCATCCTGTAACAATGCTCACTGCATGTTCACCTGCCTACAGAAGATCTACAGGGCTAACTGAAATTATAAATATTATTTCCTATTATACCAATACAGCTATTTAAAAACAACAAAAACATACACTTTATATTTAGGAGCCATCTAGAAACAGCTGCTGAATAGTTTGTATTATTTTATGGGAAGGATAAAATAGGTCACAGTCCCATCCTGTACCAGAGCAAATATTAATTGATTGTATATTAAAAGACCAGGATCAGCCATTAACAGTGAAATAGGAACAAGTAGACAGTGGCCTACTTGCGTATGTGACTTCAACATTCCTCTGGTAATTGCACAGTAAAGTCAAGTAAATGCTTCTTTACAAAGCTGTCACTGTTGAAGAATTATCTAGGATTTGCTGTGACAGGCAGGGAAAAAAGCATGAGGGTTTCAGGTACTGAAAATAAGCACTTTGCTGTGTTTTAAATTCTTTTCTTTACAAAGCTCCTCACAAAAGGGAAACATGACCAGGGGTGTAACTGGGTGTTCTTTAAAGAACTTCTGAAGAAGCAAACGAAAAAATGCTCCAAAGCCCTTAAGCTTCAGAAATGCTTTGTTTTTTTTTCTTTAATTTTTGCCATGAAAATATAATAATTCAATTCTGGCTGCAGTATTGTGTCAGTGTGCTGTGTTTACAGTTTATGTGCCAAGTATAAGATGCACTGAACAGTGATTAGGTTGTAAAAAAGCAGAAAAAATAGATTTTATGGGCCTTTTTAAAGAGGAATATATTGCTGGGCAGAAATTAAGAACAAGACTTCCTTGTCATATGTAGCTTTTTTAGCTTCTTTAAGAAAAACCCTCAATCTGCCTCCTGTTACACACTAACACTGCCACACCCCTTTCTCCTCTTCCATGGCTTCTCTGCAGTCTTTTGCTCGCTCTCTCCTGTGAATCTTACTTATATTAGCATAGTCCGTCAGTCTCTGTTACAGGGATAAAGCAGCTCAGTTTTTTCACAGCGTTTCAGTTTCCAGACACTCAGAACACCGCAGGAAGCCAGGTTTTGTGCAGCAGTGAAAAGAGGTTTGATGTGATGACGTTTCAAGGGTTTCTTCAGGGGAAAAGGCGGAAAAGATGAGCTGACTCACTGTTACAAAGGGGTACGGTTTTTCACTGCCTGTCACAGCGGTAATTTTCAACAGCCAGGGCACTCACTTCCCCTCAGCCTGGCTATTACAAGGTTGAATTCACTGTTTACTGCAGCTCCGTTCTGCTGAGATGCTGTTAAATATCTAAAGGCACTGGTATTGATTCCTCATTTCCAACAAAACACACAATTAAACAGTCACAATGCAAAAGCTCTATTGCTCGGTTCTGGGAACTTACCTCTATATGTACTGTTGTTCTTCACTTCCTACAAGCTCCTGCTGTTCGTGTTATCAGCCACCATTTCAGTCCTGAATGGGTAAGACAGGCCTCGCCTATATGATACCATATTTAGCTTCAGGAAGAGGAAGTGACTCACGCACACGAGCAGTTTCGATTGGGTGGGAAGAATGCTGCCTCTCAGCAGTTCCTAGTTCCAGGGACTGCCGTTGAACTGAACCATGGGAGAAAGGCAGTGGAGCAGGGGTGGTACTTACAGTATATCACAGTCTGATAAGGCCTGTGTATTTGTTTTTAAAAAGACAACAGAATAGCTGCCTATTAGCTGTCTGAAAAAACGAAACCCATTTTGTTCTGGAATAGT